AAACTTCAAAATAATACAACTTATCAAACATATAGGCTGGACTTTTTCAACTAGCCCAATCTACAACATCCCTTACACTTTCAATAATAGAACTATATCTCTTGAATCTTTTCTTTCTTCTTATCCAAAATACTCTATTTTCAAAAAACAACTCAGATACTATAAACTTCTTTTTATGAACCAACTTACTACTTATGACAACTCATGTCTTTTGCACTGGCAACATATTTTACCTAGACTTAACAAAATTTCAAAAGGTGTTATACCACAATGGTTTACTACTCTTGAGTACATTACTACAAGTTACTTCTACCAACAGACTCTATATAATCATTATAATTTACCTTCAATAAACTACTTCTGCTACTCTACTGGCCACTTTACTTCCAATACTAAACCTTGGTTACTTACTGTTTTTGATAATTAAATAATTGTTGACAAGGCCAGAAGGCATAATACACCTACTGGCCTTACTCTTATCAACTACTAGCATTTCTTATTTTAGTCTCAGTTTTCTAATCTCTACCTTACTTCTTCTTTTACTACTATATTATGTACTGGATGCCACCTTAATTCAAATACAATTGCTAACAAATATACTATTTTTATTCCTACCAACTTGGCTACTAAACTACTTTGTTACATCAATTCTGACAAAACTCTCAACTTTCATGCAAACTTTCTTGATATTGCATACTCTGTTGCTCTTCAACATTCTTTATATATTCCACCTCCTTCTTTACTCACAATTAATTTACAACAACTACCACCTATTTTTGAAACATGCCAATTTGTTAACAATCTTCAGACTATCACTAACTCAAATCACAATTTATTATTTATTTCATTTTACACTGATGGTTCTGTTATTAATTTTGGTACCTTGCAATGCTCTATAGGCATAGGTTGGATTTAAGTTGATAACTCTACAACTATTAATTCATTCTAGGCACAAGTTAAACTGTGACCATGCTCCTTTAAAGCTAAAATTCTTGCTATTCTCTTAGCAATTATTACTGCTTCTAGAAATTGCTCTGTTCATATATTCACTGACTCACAATTAGTAATCTCTAAATACTACAATATTTGCCAATCAGCATCTACTCTTTTTCATACTTATACTCCATATTTCTCTATTTGGCAAACACTTATTAACTTTATCAAGTCTTACAAAATTCAACTTACTTTTTATAAAGTTATTGCATACCAAGATGATCCATTTAACAACCTTGCTGATCAACTTGTTCGCAATTATCAAATATTACTTTATCTAACATTTTTAACTAATAATCCTTATAACCTCAACTATACTCCTTTTATTGATGAATTTTCTATCAAAATTCCTATTTAACACTCTATTCAAACTATATGCCAAGTCCACATTATAATACTCTAAACATCTCAACATTGTTTTCAATAATGGTCTATTATTGCATCTAACATTAACTGAAAAGCTACATAGCTTTACATAAACAACAATCAAAAATTTTCTAATTTTGCTTATAGCTTTTATTCATCTACTCTGAAAATCTTTCAAGTTAAAATTCTTACAGATGAACTTCCTGTTCCTCATATACTTCATAAATGTAATTCTTCATTCACTTCCTCTTGTTATCAATGCAACCAGACTAGCTTTTTACTCCATTGGGTTATCTGCTCATCAACTCAAACAATTTACCACTTAATCTTTAATTTTCTTAATAGTATTTTAAATACAACTAATCTTGACATGTTTGCCAATCTTGTTTCTGATTTACATACTGAAATTCTTACATTTGACAGTTTTAAACTACACAACTCTTTATATATATCTTTTCTTATTTCTACTTTATCTAGTTTAGTTCTTATCAATCTTATTTCTACTATCTACAATGCTTCTATCTCTTACTATATTGCTACTACTCTTTTTATCAAATTTCTTCTCTACTTAAACCAACAAATATATAAACAAATATAGATCCTATACTGTATTTCATATTCTGCATAGTTCCAGACTATACTTCCTACTAACTCAACTCATAGTCACTCTTCTATTCTACCCTTATCCTCTATTTCAATACTACAAATTATCACTAAAATTGATCTTTAGACTATCTAATAAATTAAATGCCATACTTCTCTCTCTTATATTATTACTCAAATCTAAATCTAGATGAGCCTTGGCCACTCTTGTAGGTTTAGGTCACAGATTATATGTTTGAGTCTTTATTCTTCATATATAATTTAAAAGCAAGCTTTTCTTTGTAAAAACTTCAATTAAATTTCAATAAAGTTAAAGGCATAGTCTCATCACTAATATTTAAAAAAAAAAAAAATACAAATTAAGTGGTTTAAGAACAGATAACTAAAATATATTTATAAAAATTATTAGGACTAGTAGATAAATTGCATTTAGTTGTTATTGATTTTTATGTAAGTTGAGCAAATAGAATACTTTGTGATCAATTTTTTTTTGTTTTTTTTTTAAAATAGACTAATATTTTGTATATATGTAGCATAACATTAACAATTACAATACAATTAAGAAATCAATTGGCCTACCATCAGCACCATAATATGCTTTTACTTGTCTAATCATACTATTAGATAACTTGCGATAACATTTAGATAAAATCGAATACTAGGCAGCTTTAACTTTAATTTCCAAGTCCTCAATGCTTGTAGGTAAGTCTGGAGAACTACGTAAATGTGTTTTAACATCTTGCCAAAGGTTTTCTATTAGATTAAGGTCTGGACTTTGAGCAGGCCATTTTAATACAAAAATATTAGCATTTTTAAAAACATTCTTAGTTTTCCAATATTTGTGAGAAGACACATTATCTTGCTAAAAGATACCTTATCAAAAAAAATTTAGAATCAAAATTAGTTGTGCACAAAAAATTTTAAGTACAAAGCTAGTGATATGTCATTTATATAATACTCATATTTTTTTAGTGTACAGTATGTTCAGTAGTATAGTATATACAGTAGTACAGTACGTATATGTAGTAGGATTTTTTTTATACTATAAGTTTGGACTATTTTATAATTGTTTCAGAATATTTAGGAACTTATAAATGTAATAGAATTTTTTTTACTGTATCTTGTCCATTAGGTACTAATTGATGTATAGCAGAAATAGCATGTCTTCTTATAAGTTTAGTATAAACTTCACCATTTATAGTACTACGAATAGGAACTATGAGTCCTAACTCATGCTATGAGAAATGCTTCTAGAACATAAGACAGGACTATGTTCTACAGTAGGAACAAGACATGATTCATCAAACTCTTCAGCTGGGGTATGCCAAACTCATATATTATGACTTTGATCAAATTGTACAAAAAAGGATTCATCTAATTATACTACATTTTGCCACTTATGAGTTGACCAATTCAGATGTTCTTCTGTTCAGGCTTTCTGTTCTAGTCTATTCTTAGCACTAATTAATGGCTTATAACATGCAATACATGATTTAAGACCACATTTTTTTAAAGTATGACGAATTGTAGAAATAGAAACTTTTTGGTTTTTTTCTTTTTTTTATAAATCTTGTATTTCTTTAAGGCTTAATCGACAGTGTTTGGTATCTTGTATAACCATTTTTCTAAGTTCTTTTAATGCAGATTCATTAAATATAGCTTTTGAACTAGAATGTTTTTTTGGCATAGTAGATCCTATTTGAGCATACTGTTTCAAAATATTATACACAGTGGTTTTATCGCATTTAATATTTTTGGCAATAGTTGTCAAAGAATCTTCACATTTATAGCCATAAAGAATTCCTCTATTTTGAAGGTAAGATAATTTTTTTTTGTCATTAAGCTACAAGATCTTAAAAGTTAAATTTAGACAAATTATCTTTTTTATATATAGAAACTTTG